TAGAAAGGCGGCCCAGATTGGAAGACTGGCTGTATGTTGGTGCACAACACTCTTGCTATGTAGGACTGTAGGTCAGCCAGCATGCGTCCCCCCCCCACAACCCTCTCTCTTATTACACTTCCATCCCTCCCCACACCCCTCCATCCCTCCCCACACCCCTCCATCCCTCCACACCCCTCCATCCCTCTCTGTCTAGTTCGCCACTATCTCAATACATGCACCCCTTCCCCTGTACACACCCCTCCCTCCCTCTCCTCCCACGCACACCCTGTTAATGTGTTGCACACCCTGCTAGTGTGTTGCACACCCTGCTAATGTGTTGCACACCCTGCTAGTGTGTTGCACACCCTGCTAGTGTGCTGCACACCCTGCTAATGTGTTGCACACCCTGCTAGTGTGTTGCACACCCTGCTAATGTGTTGCACACCCTGCTAGTGTGTTGCACACCCTGCTAATGTGTTTGCACACCCTGCTAGTGTGTTGCACACCCTGCTAATGTGTTGCACACCTGCTAGTGTGTTGCACACCCTGCTAATGTGTTGCACACCCTGCTAGTGTGTTGGACACCCTGCTAGTGTGCTGCACACCCTGCTAATGTGTTGCACACCCTGCTAGTGTGTTGCACACCCTGCTAATGTGTTGCACACCCTGCTAGTGTGTTGCACACCCTGCTAGTGTGTTGCACACCCTGCTAGTGTGTTGCACACCCTGCTAGTGTGTTGCACACCCTGCTAGTGTGTTGCACACCCTGCTAGTGTGTTGCACACCCTGCTAGTGTGCTGCACACCCTGCTAGTGTGCTGCACACCCTGCTAGTGTGTTTGCACACCCTGCTAGTGTGTTGCACACCTGCTAGTGTGTTGCACACCCTGCTAGTGGTTTGCACACCCTGCTAGTGTGCTGCACACCCTGCTAGTGTGTTGCACACCCTGCTAGTGTGCTGCACACCCTGCTAGTGTGTTGCACACCCTGCTAGTGTGTTGCACACCCTGCTAGTGTGCTGCTCACCCTGCTAGTGTGTTGCACACCCTGCTAGTGTGTTGCACACCCTGCTAGTGTGCTGCACACCCTGCTAGTGTGTTGCACACACCCTGCTAGTGTGTTGCACACCCTGCTAGTGTGTTGCACACCCTGCTAGTGTGCTGCACACCCTGCTAGTGTGTTGCACACCCTGCTAGTGTGCTGCACACCCTGCTAGTGTGTTGCACACCCTGCTAGTGTGTTGCACACCCTGCTAGTGTGTTGCCACACCCTGCTAGTGTGTTGCACACCCTGCTAGTGTGCTGCACACCCTGCTAGTGTGTTGCACACCCTGCTAGTGTGCTTGCACACCCTGCTAGTGTGTTGCACACCCTGCTAGTGTGTTGCACACCCTGCTAGTGTGCTGCTCACCCTGCTAGTGTGTTGCACACCCTGCTAGTGTGTTGCACACCCTGCTAGTGTGCTGCACACCCTGCTAGTGTGTTGCACACCCTGCTAGTGTGTTGCACACCCTGCTAGTGTGTTGCACACCCTGCTAGTGTGCTGCACACCCTGCTAGTGTGTTGCACACCCTGCTAGTGTGCTGCACACCCTGCTAGTGTGTTGCACACCCTGCTAGTGTGTTGCACACCCTGCTAGTGTGTGTGCACAACCCTGCTAGTGTGTTGCACACCCTGCTAATGTGGTTGCACACCCTGCTAGTGTGTTGCACACCCTGTTAGTGTGCTGCACACCCTGCTAGTGTGTTGCACACCCTGCTAGTGTGCTGCACACCCTGCTAGTGTGTTGCACACCTGCTAGTGTGTTGCACACCCTGCTAGTGTGCTGCACACCCTGCTAGTGTGTTGCACACCCTGCTAGTGTGTTGCACACCCTGCTAGTGTGTTGCACACCCTGCTAGTGTGCTGCACACCCTGCTAGTGTGTTGCACACCCTGCTAGTGTGCTGCACACCCTGCTAGTGTGTTGCACACCCTGCTAGTGTGTTGCACACCCTGCTAGTGTGCTGCACACCCTGCTAGTGTGTTGCACACCCTGCTAATGTGTTGCACACCCTGCTAGGTGTTTGCACACCCTGCTAGTGTGCTGCACACCCTGCTAGTGTGTTGCACACCCTGCTAGTGTGTTGCAAATATGCACGTGTTTTTGTTGCGCCCTTTACCTGAATCACATCAAACATACGTAATATAACTTCACATCGCATCCCGCTGTGAATTATAATATTATATATGTTAACGTCAAAGGCCGCCTGCCACCAGGTCAGGTACTGAAACTGTGGGCTAGTGTAAACTGATGCAGCCACGGTATTCTCACTGTATGTTTACTTGCAGTTTACCTAGAGTTGTTTCCGGAAGTCATCGCCCCCCTTCCCCCGAGCGCTCTCTGATCAGGCCTCCTTGTTGTTAGCCTGATAGATCAGATTGTTAGTGCCTGTTGCTCGCAGTCCAACGTACGCAACACTACCTAGCTAATCAGGAACTACTTTGAGGAATCTTGATAGATTCCTCTTGAAAACAGCTAGTTTTTTTTTTTTGTAGTCCCCCTTATGTATGAAGGAAGGGTGTTAAAGAATCATGTCCTCTTTACACTTATTAAGTTTTCTCTCAGTGTATTCATTGCTCCCCGCTTTTCATTGGAGGTATCCTGCACTGTCTACCGAGCCTCCAGTGTTAATCGGTAATAATTTCGGTAAGCAGGTTTGGAATTAATTTTTCCAGTATTGTCAGGGTGTAGATTATGATGTATCATTCTCGCCTACGTTTTAAGGAGTACAGTTCTAAGGTCAAGCACTCCCAGTAATTTAGGTGCTTGACTGAGTTTATACGAACTAACTGTGAAAGTTTTCTGTACATTTTCCGGCTCAGCAATTTCACCTGCCTTGAAGGGGAGGGAGCTGTTAGTACAGAGACAATGAGTGACCTAAAGAATATTGTGAAAAATTTATTATTATTGTATCTATTATTATTAGAAAATCACCTGCAGGAGGCTTACAGGGCATTACCTGAATTATTACCTGCAAGTAATTTGGTTAAGGTAAGTGGGACTTAGTCACAGTAGGTCATCGAACTGCTACTCCTTCGAATGCCCACTTCCTCTAAACTTTCACAAAAAGTTAGACCTGACATTAATTTAATGATTATAAAATTAAAACCAGCTAGTCTGGTACATTGAAGTTTAGTAGACTGTATAGGATTAGGTTTGCTGGGAACAGAATATAATTACTGTGCATAAATTATTAGTGTTATTAAAAAAACTTTGTATTACTACTTACCGTTCAATTGTAGATGGAACACACCACAACACCTGACTAACATCTACAACCTTCACTGGCCAGCTATATCTAGATGCAAGGATTATGGTGTACTTTCCTGTGAGTGATGTCCACATTTATTTCGCCATTCACATGTAATTCTTGAGGTCCTGCAAATTTCCTGTCCCAATTCTTCAGCAGGAGACATTAACACGGGCTCCTATTACAGATTCAGACCGAAACACCTCATTTTGGCCTCTGAGAAAGCCCAATTATTAACAGAATTGTCACATCCATTGTACACACATTAAATTCAATATGGCGTCTCCCCCTTCCTGGCGTTTCTACTGGCTGTTCCACAACCTCTCTTCACTTAAAATTTCTCAAAGCGTCTAAAATGCATCATATTTTATTACACAATTAATGTATGATTCATTTATATGTACTACATTTAGGAAATTATATGATCAATGGATTGGCATCTCCTGTTTTGAAGGTTCTAGTTATCCAACCTATCATTTTTCTTGCAGTTATGATAATAACATTTCTGTGCTCCTTGAACGTGAGATGTTCTGGCATTATCACTTTCAGGTTTCTCACATTTACCTTATGTTCTACTAAGTGGTTTGTGTTTCTTTTGTACTCCAATTGTATTTTTATTTCCTTCATTCTTGTGTAAAGCAGTAACTGAACGCTGCCCTCGTTGAACATCACATTGCTGTCAGTAACCCACTGAAATACTTGGTTTATATCGGCTTGGAGGCTCGCTGTGTCTTTTGTGGATGTGCTACTTTCATACATATTCTGTATCGTCTGCAAAGGATGATACTGTACTATGATTTATGTTCCTGTCTATGTCAAATCTGAGATTGAGAAAGAGAAGTGAATCGGGTACGGTGCTTCGGGGAACAGAACTAACTGTAGCAACTCTCTGGGCTCTTTATTAGGAAGTTAAAAATCCATCTTTCCACTTATTCTTATGGCAGGCACTTCGTGTGCGATTACCCCCATGGCTGTCTTATCTTTTCAGTCAGTGTATATTACATCTGATTAGAGTAAATTGTTGCAGACACAATATTGTAACTGCAGGTTGGTGTAAACTGTTGCAGCCACGATACTATGACTTATTCTTGCCGTTCTTGTCCTCATTACCTGTAACATTCAACTGTAGATCCTACTGCTGCAGTTTTCCCGTTGATCCTGTCTAAGCTACTGTTGGTGCCTCTGTTGCTCGAATCATTGCTCGTGGTGCTCTTGTTGTTATCGCTGGTGGTGTTAATGGTTCCGCTGTTGGTGTTGCTGTATTCCCTAAATGCATCTGCTGTGTGCGCACGCCTGTGAAGTCACCGCGGCCGCTACTGCTGCCAGGAGTGTGAACAAGTGTAGAACTCCATAAATGTCCTATTCGCCTATAAAACTCTCGCTGGCTGCAGCCTGATTGAATTATTTGTCCATCTCTCCTGATCTGTCGAGCTACATGCAAAATGTTAACCTCAGCCCTCCTTTGTTGCTGATCGCAACCAGCACGACCACTGGTGCCCCTCCAGCACGACCACTGGTCACCCTCCAGCACGACCACTGGAACCCCTCCAGCACGACCACTAGTGACCCTCCAGCATGACCACTGGTGACTCTCCAGCACGACCTCTGGTGCCCCTCCAGCACGACCACTAGTACCCGTCCAGCACGACCACTGGTGCCCCTCCAGCACGACCACTGGTCACCCTCCAGCACGACCACTGGAACCCCTCCAGCACGACCACTAGTGACCCTCCAGCACGACCACTGGTGACTCTCCAGCACGACCACTAGTGACCCTCCAGCACGACCACTGGTGACCCTCCAGCGCGATCCTTGGTACCATTCCAGCACGACCACTGGTACCCCTCGAACACGACCACTCGTACCCTTCCAACGACCACTGGTGCTCCAACATGACTGCTGCTCCAACACGACCAGTGGTGCACCAACACGACCACTGGTTCTCCAACACGACCAGTGGTGCTCCAACACAACCACTGATGCTCCAACACGACCACTGGTGTTCCAGCACGACTACTGGTGCTCCAACACGACCACTTGTGCTCCAACACGACCACTGGTGTTCCAGCACGACCACTGGTGCTCCAACATGACTACTGGTGCTCCAACACGACCACTGGTGCTCCACGACCACTGGTGATCCAACTCTACCACTGGTGCTCCAGCACGACCACTGGTGACCCTAGAGCACGACCACTGGCACCCCTCCAACACGACAACTGGAGCCCCTCCAGCACGACCACTGGTGACCCTCCAGCACGACCACGAGTGACCCTCCAGCATGACTACTGGTGACCCTCCAGCGCGATCCTTGGTACCCCTCCAACACGACCACTCGTACCCTTCCAACGACCACTGGTGCTCCAACACGACTACTGGTGCTCCAACACGATCACTGTTGCTCCAACATGACCACTGCTGCTTCAACACGACCAGTGGTGCTCCAACATGACCACTGGTTCTCCAGCACGACCATTGGTGCTCCAACACAACTACTGGTGCTCCAACACGATCACTGTTGCTCCAACACGACCACTGGTGCTCCAACACGATCACTGGTGCTCCAACACGACCACTGGTGCTCCAACACGACCACTGGTGCTCCAACACGACCACTGGTGCTCCAACACGACCACTGGTGCTCCAACCACGACCACTGGGTGCTCCACACACCACTGGTGCTCCAACACAGACCACTGGGGGCTCCAACACGACCGCTGGTGCTCCCCAAAACGACCACTGGTGCTCCACACGACCACTGGTTCTCCAGCACGACCATTGGTGCTCCAAAAACGACTACTGGTGCCCAACACGATCACTGTTGCTCCAACACACCATGGTGCTCCAACACGACCACTGGAGCCTCCAACCGAAACACGGTGCCCAACACGACCACTGGTGGTCCAACACACCACTGGTGCTCCAAACCGGGCCACTGGTGCTCCAACACGACCATGGTGCTCCAACACGACCACTGGTGCTCCAACACGACCACTGTTGCTTCAACACGACCACTGGTGCTCCAACACGACCACTGGTGCTCCAACACGACCGCTGGTGCTCCAACACCACCACTGGTGCCCCAGCTCTACCACTGGTGCCCCAACTCTACCACTGGTGCTCCAGCACGACCACTGTTGACTCTCCAGCACGACCACTGGTACCCCTCCAACATGACCACTGCTGCTCCAACACGACCATTGGTGCTCCAGCACGACCACTGGTGCTCCAACACGACCAGTGGTGCTCCAACACGACCACTGGTGCTCAAACACGACCATTGGTGTTCCAGCACGACCATTGGTGCTCCAACTCTACCACTGGTGCTCCACCACGACCACTGGTGACCTCCAGCACGACTACTGGTGCCCCTCCAGCACGACCACAAGTGACCCTCCAACACGACCACTGGTGACCCTCCAACACGACCACTCGCACCCTTCCAACGACCACTGGTGCTCCAACACGACCACTGGTTCTCCAACGCGATCAGTGGTGCTCCAACACGATCACTTGTGCTCCAAGACGACCACTGGTGCTCCAGCACGACTGGTGCTCCAACACGACCACTGGTGCTCCAACACGACCACTGGTGTTCCAGCACGACCACTGGTGCTCCAATACGACCACTGGTGCTCCAACACGACCACTGGTGGCCCTCCAGCACGACCACTGGTATCCATCCAACACGACCACTGGTACTGCAGCACGACCACTCGTACCCTTCCAACACGACCACTGGTGCTCCAAGACGACCACTGATGCTCTAACACGACCACTGGTGCTCCAGCACGACCACTGGTGCTGCAGCACGACCACTGGTGCTCCAACACAACCACTGGTGCTCCAAGACGACTACTGGTGCTCCAATACGACCACTGGTGCTCCAACACAACCACTGGTGCTCCAACACAACCACTGGTGCTCCAACACAACCACTGGTGCTCCAACACGACCACTGATGCTCCAACACGACCACTGGTGCTCCAACACGACCACTGGTGCTCCAACACTACCACTGGTGCTCCAACACAACCACTGGTGCTCCAACACAACCACTGGTGCTCCAACACAACCACTGGTGCTCCAACACAACCACTGGTGCTTCAACACGACCACTTGTGCTTCAACACGACCACTGGTGCTCCAACACGACCACTGGTGCTCCAACACAACCACTGGTGCTCCAACACAACCACTGGTGCTCCAACACAACCACTGGTGCTCCAACACAACCACTGGTGCTTCAACACGACCACTGGTGCTTCAGCACGACCACTGGTGCTCCAACACGACCACTGGTGCTCCAACACGACCACTTGTGCTCCAACACGACCACTGGTGATCCAACACGACCACTGGTGCTTCAGCACGACCACTGGTGCTCCAACACAACCACTGGTGCTCCAACACAACCACTGGTGCTTCAACACGACCACTTGTGCTTCAACACGACCACTGGTTCTCCAACACGACCACTGGTGCTCCAACACAACCACTGGTGCTCCAACACAACCACTGGTGCTCCAACACAACCACTGGTGCTCCAACACAACCACTGGTGCTTCAACACGACCACTGGTGCTTCAGCACGACCACTGGTGCTCCAACACGACCACTGGTGCTCCAACACGACCACTTGTGCTCCAACACGACCACTGGTGATCCAACACGACCACTGGTGCTTCAGCACGACCACTGGTGCTCCAACACGACCACTAGTGCTCCAACATGACCACTTGTGCTCCAACACGACCACTGGTGCTCCAACACGACCACTGGTGCTCCAACACGACCACTGGTGCTCCAACACGACCACTGGTGCTTCAACACGACCACTGGTGCTCCAACACGACCACTGGTGCTTCAACCCGACCACTGGTGCTCCAACACGACCACTGGTGCTCCAACACGACCACTGGTGCTCCAACACGACCACTGGTGCTCCAACACGGGCCACTGAACCTTGGTCAGATGAGGAAAAGACGTTCTTAACATGGACTGGTGAGCCAGTGAAAGGTCTTCGTCACATGACCAAAAGCGCCACTGAGTAGGTAATACCCTCCTCCCTCCTCCACTCTACCAAGGGCTTTGAAAACCCTCTTACAGCTCATCTACGCATTATGCAAGTGTCTCGTTACAGGCCGGGACTATATGGACACGAAGCGTTAAAACCTCAGGGGAATATGTTACTTTGACTTTTTGGGGTTATTCTAGGTAATTTATAATATGTATGTTACTTGTACTTAAGTGCACCTGTGCCTAAATAAACTTACCTTGAGGGCCGAGGGAGAGACACACGAACAACCAGAAGCCTCTTGAGTTCCCTCTTATGAAGGATAAACATTACCATCACTCCCAGGAATAAATTCGCATAATTTATGTAAATTTTAAAGTTTCAGAATGTTATACGCTTTTACGAAGTTGGTAGAATTTTATTATAATTATGGCGAGTTGTTTGGTTACTAGTTGAATATATTAAAGCAATTGTTGATGATGTTATTCCTAGTGAGAAAATTCACATTGCCGTTACATCTCTCAGTGTGGGAACCCCCACTTCACCTCGATAATTTAAACATTCTTTACCTCACTCACGTTTAAAGTTGTAAAACACTAACAGAAATTATTTACGTTTGATTATTTACTATAATTAATTTTCACACATACTTACCGTGGCTGAAATAAGAAATAAAGTGTGAGCAGGGTTTTTATAAGAGTGTGTGGTGGCGCCTGGCCTGGCCGCCATAACTCCTGCCTTGCTGGTGTTGTCAGGAAGGAGAGGGCGCAGGTTGACCTAACTGTAGCTGCACACAGGTCAGAGGTCGCCCACCGGGGTCAACGCTCCCTCATAATGCAACACTTACTGGTGTAGAGAGGGAGGAGAGAGACGAGGTGTTAATGTGGACTGGTCAGGGAAGATAGTGGGTTTAGCGCTGTATGACCCTAGTGGGTTTAGCGCTGTTTGACCCTAGTGGGCTTAGCGGTGTATGACCCTACTGGATTTACCGCTTCTTTTTTATTATAACAATTGACTAAGTTTTATGACTCCTACGGGTTTAGCATAGAATACCCTCAGATAAGACCAAGGTGGGTGAAAGGAAGAGTTCTGAATAGTGGAAAATAAGTGGGGGAGAGAAAGGGATGGGAGAAAGAGCCGAGGCTAAACCCAGCAGTACGACGCTGGTTGGCAAGGTAGAGGCAATAGTTGTTTGACCGTGCTGACTGCAAGACTGTATCAAACGTAATGGCAGAACCGGTCAGGGTTTAGGGTGACAAATGACACTCGTACAGGTGTCACCGGAGCGTCATACGCAAGTTTGCTGTTGTCTATCTCTCACTGCAATGATATGGGTTGGAGAGGGAAACATGGGAAGCGGGCTTGGTAAAAAAGGGATGTCTTAAGGTCCACCCCTGCAGAGGGCAGAGCAGAAGTTGAGATTACAAGTTAGGAATAGAGGTTTAGGAATACAGAGGGAGAGGAGCAGGATTGTATAGGGATGCAGGATTGTATAGGGATTGGAAGAGGTTTAGTGTTATCTGACTATTACAACCCAGGAGTCCCAAAGGCCTGTTATCCTGGGTGTAAAGGGAGCAAAATAAACACAGCAGAAAAACTTTTGACTTATATTATCCTTCACCAAGTAAGAAAAGAATTATGTATACTAAATACACTCTGTACAACAATAGGTATTAGTGCACTCCACGGTAAGCAAGGCAGAATAGAAGCCACTAGAGAGCAGACCGTGCTTTAACCAGCTCTAGAATGGGAATGACAAGGGCAGACAGGTGTGTGGTACCCACAGCACCTCTGCGATCGCCAAAACCATCTTCTCATTGGCTGGAACCTGGGTACACTGATTGAACGATGGGGCCCCATCATCAACCCTTAGTACG